ACGCATGCTCGAAGCAGGTTAGCGGGTCATGTCCTGAGTACAAAGGCCGGTAAAGTCCTCGTAGCTGAAGCGGGACTGGAGCCGCCGCATGGCTTCGATGAGTGAGGCGGATTCGAGGTCGCCAACAGTTCCACCAAGCTTGAACACGATGTTAGCACGTTCAGATGGTGACCAGAGACGATCACATACTGACATTCGTTACTTTATGGACAATCTACGATGCGCAGATGAGGGTGGGAATGACAGATGCTGCGAATGAAACTCACTTGGACGGCCTTCCCAAGCTAATCGTAACGCACTTACGAAACAAGTCACATCAGCAATAACCTCAGACGAGAGTGGTCTGAGGACGCACATCTTTTTTCAAAACAAGCACTGACATGAAATGACACCGCCGAGTGATAGCGACACTATGAAGTTGGGAATTCTACAGCCAGGTTATTGCCGAGGCCTAAGTCGACCTCTCCGCCATTATTCAGGACATAAACTTCTACAAATTTCGTATTTAGCGCATGCTTCGAAGCCTTCCAGAGCGTAGAGCGCACAATGCATTCCGTACCTGCGCTTTCATTCTCAATTGCCGTGAATTTCAGGCCGGCTGTCCTGAGCAGCAGTCCAGCCGAAGACGCTGTAACGCACAATGAGCCTCCGCCACAACCAAGTGGCGAGTTTCGGAACGCACCAATGACACCCTTCCGACAACGCTCACCACGCCGCCCAGGCCATACCATGCTTGCTGTGTTCTGAAGGCAGAATGACGCGGAATATAGGCCAATTACTCTGCGAGATGCCGCGGCTCGTTCGAGTAAGAGCCAGCTTCTCACGCTTCCCGCGTTCCGTGCATTGGGCGCTCTGGAGCGTGTCGGTCTTGAGCGCTGGCAGAAAGCCCACCTCGACCAGTTAGGCGATGTGCTCGTCCGGCACCACATCGTCGACCGTGCGCTCGTCTGCTTCGTGTGCCGCACAACGAGGTCCCGCGTGTTCGTGCCGCTAAGCTCGGGCGCGCCTTGATGTTTGCCGCCAGGTCGTCGAGCACAATGTGCAGCAGAGGGAGTAGCGTGTCATCCTTCATCTCCGTTACGTGCAGCCCAACCCCGCGCCACCACACGAGGTACAGCAGCGCTTCGTGCAATAGCCGTAGAGTGAGAATGCCAAGAGGAAGTTACTGGGATGGGCTTGGGTAGGCGATAGCGTGGGGAATGCTGGGACAGTCACGCAGGGTAAGAAGAGGGCGGGGCGCTGCGATGGCGGCTGAACAGGCAGTACGGTCGACGGGATCCATGTTTACGGGGCCGTTGATGTCCGGATCCCAGCCGAACTGGATGCGGCCCTTGACCACACACTAGAGAGAGAGGCAGTTGTCAGTGTTTGTCACTGATAGACAGACTAGTACCCTACCATAGTTTTGATGGCAAACTGGTGCTTACCGGCAGCCTTGGAGTCACCGACAACATAACGCAGACCGTACACCCACTAAAATCCCTCGTTCTCGCCTCAAAAAAGGCCGCTCCTCCGACGCCCACCTGCTCCGTCCCGAGTGTCGACAGTGCGCCCTAGAGGTCGTCGCCCTCGAAGATGGCCTTCCTGTCCTATCGATGTTGACATCCTTGACCTGTCGTCTGGCGGCCGCGGTCCATAGCGAGAGCACAGATCGAGAGGGACGCGAGTTTGAGTCTTGGAGATCAAGATCGACTAGTAAATTAAAGCAGCCGAATGATGCATCGCTAATGCAGCCACTGTGATCACCGAATGCTGGTATATGCAGATCTGCAAACCAGCCCGAGGCCGTAGTGAGAGGTGGCAGTAGTCGAGGAGTAGCGAGACTTACCAGGACGATACACGAAAGCGTAGCACTGTATCGTAGCTGGGAGGCGTGCGTCTGATTCGTGACGCTGAGCACATGGACGCCGAGAGGCGGTTGGGGCCTTTGACGTAGGTCGCACACGGTCTGGAGCAGAGGATGAGATGTATTGCGTGCAAGAACAGACGGAGGACGTACATCAAGCAGAGCCTGTGACAGATAATTCCCAGTGAGCTCGTCGTAGAAGGTCGACGCCCGCCCTGTCGCAAAGTACAGGGCAATGCTGGCAAGCCAGAAGGGGCAGTTGCCAAGCGTGCGCTGTGCGAGGTCGCAGCTAATTTTAGCAAGTGAAGCGCAGCGGTCGGAATACAACTACGCACCTTGGCTCGCCTGCCATGCTGCTCGCCGTGCACGTAAGTACTGCCTACGTACGCTCAGGTCCAACTCAGGTCCGCCCGGATGTTGCCGCGCCATTGACGTTCATGCCCGTCTGAGCGGGTGATTGCGAGACGAGCGAGGGGTTCCATGACTGAAATCACAGCGGTGTGGTTTGCAAAGTGGCCGATCAAGGAGATTTTGCGGCGGTGGACAGTGTATATATTGAGCGTCTGGTACACGTGGCGTCTTCTTCATGATCACATGCAAATCACATGGTCATCCGAGCGCGCTTGCAGCATCGCGCGTCGCGTTGAGTCAGAACGTGCCCCTTGACCTGGAGAACCCGGACTTCCTTGCGCCGCCTACGACTGACAATGGCGAAGTGTCCGTGTCCCCCTAGCTTATCCTGATCTGAAATGTATTGATTGTCATGTGCACCGTAGGCCCAACGCCAAGTGGCCGTTCAGAGTGAGCCACAACCGCCTCCAAACTGGTGGATGGGCTCGTCAGCAGAACAGTGAGTACTCTGGTCATGCTTAAACACTGAGTCATGACTGAGCATCTGGCTGCATTAGTCAACCAGCTGCCTGCCGCCACCGAGTTGGCAGGAGTTGACCTGCACCTCGAGGCTGGCGCTATTCGGTAAGTCGCCGTTCAATTGTATGGTCCATTTTGTCTGACATTGTCTCGTCAAGCGAAATCTACTGGCACACCGTGCCTGAGCGGGCGTATGTGACTAAGGTGAGTGCGGTAAATTTACGCCGTTCGAGAGGAGCTCCGAGCAGGCCTCTCAGCTCGACATTTCAGGGCTCCGTGCAAGTGACAGCCGTCAACCAGCTCGGCCAAAACTTTGTCGGAACTGCAGTACGTACTGTAGTGACGGTATTTCTGGAGTGATTCCTGATGCGATTTTTGCCATCAGAACCAGGGCGATCTGTGGTTCTTCCCCGCCGGTGTCCCTCACTCCCTTCAGGCCACGAATGCGACCGAGGACGGGACTGAATTCCTTCTGGTAGACTGTGCCTTCAAGATACCTTCGTACAGATGCTGAGCAAGCGTGCCCCAGGTCTTTGACAATGGCACCTTCGACGAGGACGGCACGTTCCTCATCACCGACTGGCTGGCACACACCCCGAAGGAAGTCATCGCTAAGAACTTCCAGGCGCCCATCTCCGTCTTCAACGAGCTTCCGGGCGAGGAGCTCTACATCTTCCCTGCGGGTACGCTGAACTTTTCTCCATCTAAGGACCTGCTAAGACTGAACTTGCCCCACCAGCGTCCCCGGGTCCCGACTCGGACGCGCCAGTGAGCCCGTACGGCACCGTGCCGAACTCATACACATTCACGATGTCCCAGATGCCCGCGATTGAACTCTCAGGAGGGTCTGTCAAGATTGTGGACTCGCATGTGTTCAGCACCTCGAAGACGACGGCTGTCGCAGAGGTGGCGGTCAACCCTGGCGGGATGCGCGAGCCGCACTGGCATCCGACCCAGGACAAATGGACGTATTTCTTGTGAGTCGCCTGGTCACATGTGTCGCTGGCGCGCTCTTTGCTAAAGAAGTATGATCAGGGAGGGAAATGCGCGTGTCGCAGTGTTTGCATCCGAGGGCAACGCGGGGGCGTTCAACTTCCAGGGAGGTGACATCGGTACGCGCTTATTGCAAGAATACGCAAGCAAAAGGCTAACTAGAGGTTGAAACCAGGCTATATTCCCGCAGCGCACGGCCACTACGTCGAGAACACTGGAAACACAACGCTCCGCTTCCTCGAGGTCTTCAAGACTGCGACCTTCCAGGATGTCAGCCTGACTCAGGTACGGACTTCCTCGAGTGCGCGTTGATAGGAGCATGTTCTGAGACTCTGTATTTGTGGTGGCTCGCCCTCACACCCCCTGCGATGATCGAGGCGACGCTTAATATCAATGCCGAGGACCTCAAATACTTCAGCAAGACCAAGCCCATCGTCGTCGGTCCCGCTCCGGTCAACGGCACCACGATTGCCTGAATGCTTGCTTTACGCTTGAAGTGGGATGGTGCACACGGACCAGATGCTAATCCCCTCAAGCGGCTACATGCTCCGTTGCGCAAGGCTCTGCATGTCGCGATTTGGGCCATTTCGCTACCGGCGCATCCCACGACCCGAGCTCCTCCTTCAGCTCGTCCATGTCCTGCTCTCGCCGCCCCTCCCAGTACAAGGCTCTGCGCGCTGCTCCCACACTTGATCGCCCACGGCACATACTCCCTGAACAGCCGCGCTCGCTTTGCAGAGCTGATGCGGAGATACCCAAAGGTAGCGGCGAACCCGGCTATGGGCAACCCCACGGTCGCGAACTCGAAGAACTTAACGGCGAGCTCGGACGCGACGTCGACTAGGAGGTTGACGAGGCAGCGGCCAGAAGTCGTGCAGTTCGCGATAGCGCTGCATCACATACGCGAGCTCGGGTCGTCCACGTGATGCGCCTGTACTTCCTGCTCTTAGTTTTCGCAAAGACACCTAAAAAATAGGCTCACTGGTTCGCGGGTGTCAGGTGTGAAGTTGCATCGCTCCAACCAGGTGATATAGGTGAGCTCGAGCGTGCTCTAGGAATAGTTGCGACGTATTTCATGCCGGCGGTTTTCGTGTTGACGCGCGGCCTCTCCATGAGGATTCGGCGCCCCTCCCAGCATGCTAGCATCACGTCCCGGAAGTGTATAGGAAGCGCGGCGCTCGAGGCGAAGCGTCCGACAGCAGCAACCAAATCTGCACTCTCTTGTCAGTAATATTTAGCACCCACAATACTCTCGCACGTACCACGGCGCGCAGGCGCGGTCAGGGCCATATGAGATGTTCCAGCAAGCATGACCGCATGCCAAAAGCAATTTAGCGGAGCATGTCCCGGGTACAAAGGCCAGTCAAGTCCTCGTAGCTGACGCGCGATTGGGACCGCTGGATGGCCTCAACAAATGAGGCAGTTTCGATGTCGCCGACGGTTCCACCAAGGCTTGAATACGATGTTACCACGTTTGGCTGGTGACCAGAGGCGACCACATACTGCAATAGTGGCAATGGTTGCATTATGGACAGTCTATGACGCGCCGATGAGGGTGAGAACGACAAATACTGCTGCCAATAAAACTCACTCGAACGATCTTCTCAAGATGATGACCATGCATCTGCGAGACGAGTTGCGTCAGGAACAAACTCAGCCGAGGGCCGCCCGGGGACGCACGTCTTTTCAACAATGGACGCCAACTTGACGTGCCAATGTCGAGCGACACCAGTATTACGACTAGCAAAATTGACAGCCGAGTTATGACAGAGGCTTAAGTCGACCTCTCTGCCGTCGTTCAGGGGACATAAATATCTCCTGTCAACTTCATGCTTAGCCCATACTCTGAAGCCTTGCGAAGCGCACAGCGCACTACGTACCACGCTCCCGCAGTCCTAATGTAGATCATCGCGGCTTTCAGACCAGCCGTCCTCAGGAGGAACCCCGTCGAAGATGCTGTAATGCACAGTCAGCCTCTGCTGTAGTCAAACCGCAACTTTCGGATCTCACCGATGACGCCCTTCCGATACTGCTCACCTCACCACCCAGAATATTTCACGCCTATCGTGTTCTGATGGCGAGATGACAGGGGATTTGACTAGAATGCAAGACGCAACAACTCTTTCGAGTAAGAACTTGCTTCCCAAACTCTCCGCATTTCATGCACTGGGCGCTCAATTGGTGCTCTGGAGCGCGTCGGTCTTGAGCGCTGGAAAGAAGCCCACCTCGACCAGCCGGCGTTGTGCTCTCCCAGCATCACATCGTCGACCGTGCGCTCGTCTGCTTCGTGTGCCGCACATCGGGGTCCTGCGTGTTCATGCCGCCGAGCTCGGGCGTGCCTTGATGCTTGTCGCCAGGTCATCGGCCACGAAGTGTAGCAGAGGGAACAGCGCGTCGTCCTGTACCTCCGTGACGCGCAGCCCGACCTGGCACCGCCACATGACGCACCAGTAATACTCAGTGCCGCAGCCATACGGTGAGAGGGCCGAGAGGATGTCATTAAAGGTGGGCCTTGGGTATGCGGTAGCGTGAAGAATGCTGGGGTGGTCGCGCGGAGCAGAAAGAGGGTGGAGCGCTGCGAAGGCGATAGAACGAGCAGCCTCGTCGGCGAAATGCTTTGTCACGGTGTTGTTGATGTCGGAAACCAGCCCAACTGGATGCAGCCCTTGACCGTACGCTAGAGATAGTCGTCAGTATTTGTCACTAATAGGCAGATTGTTATCTTACCATGGTATTTGCAGCAAAATGGTACTTACGGGGAGCCTTGGAGTCGCCGACAGCATAGTCAGAACAGATGGTGTGCCCAGTGGGATCCTTCGTTCTCGCCTCAGAGGCCGCTTCTCCCAGAAAGTCGTTGACTCGCTTCCCCCGACGCTCACTTGCTCGTGTCCATGCATAGCCCATCTCGGGTGTCGGCCGTGTCCTCTCGAAGTCGTCGCCCAAGGAGACACCCCCTTGTCCTGTCAATGTCGGCATCCTTGCCGTCTGGTGGCCGCGGTCCATAGCGAGAGCGCAGGCCGAGAGGGACGCGAGTGTGGAGCCTGGAGATCGAGGTCGGCTGGTCAGGTCGAGCAGTCGAGCAATGCATCGCTAACACAGTAATCGTGACCATCGAGTGCTAGTATATGCAGTCTGTAGGACAGCCTGAGACCGCAGTGAGAATAGCGGCAGTAGTCAAGGGGCAAAAAGACTTACCAGGACAACATCTTCGCTACGGAACCGCAGCTGTGAGGCTTTTGTGTGTGTGATTGATTCATGAGGCTGAGTGCAAAGAGGCCAGTAGGCTGTCGGGACTCTTGACGTAGGTCGTAGTCTGTAGCCGAGGATGAGATGTATTTCGTACATGAACGGGCAGAGTAGGACATACACAGTACTTCAAATAGCGTCAGCGGTTCGTTGACGCGATGACACGCTGACAGATGGACGTTTCTCAGTGAGCTCGACGCAGAAGGGCGATTCCCGTGCTATCGTGACGTAAGTGCTTCCTAGCAAGCAGGAGTGGCAGTTCAAGAATGTCTACTGCGCGAGGACATGATTAAATTTAGCAAGAAAAGCGCACAGGTCGGAATACAACCACGCACCTTGGCTCCCCAGTGGCATACTGCTCGCCTTGCGTGTACTGCCCACGCTCAGGTCCAGCTCTGGTCCGCCCAGATATAGCCGCGTCGTTGACATTGATGCCCGTCTGGGTGAGTGACTGCGAAACAAGCGGGGGGTTGCGTGAGAGATTTCACAACGATGTGCTTCACGAGATGGCAGTAGAGGGAGTTCCAGGCTGGGACGACGGCGGCTGGCGAGATGGTGTATATATTGGGCGTCCGGTACACCTGGCGCCCGAATCGCGATCACATGCCAGCCCGAGCGCGCTTGCCTCTGAGGCTCTGACATGTCCCTTCGCGTCATAAGACTATCTTTCTGCAAGCTGTAGTTAATCTGCCCGGATATCTGTTGGGAAACTCCCGCTTACTCGAGTCGTTACCACCGACGGACATCTCTGCGGCCCCTTTACATCTTCCTGCACACCAACTGATATTGGGGCGAAGATGGCCATATGAATATCCTGCTTAAGCTTGCTCCCATCCGGCTCACGTTGCTCTTTTTATTCTTCCTGAGGCAGCTGCATGCTGTGCTTCGTAAGAGGTGCGTCAAACGCTGCGGACGTTGCTCAGCGTTCTCGTCGATCTGATGTCGGTTCGTAGATCCAGAACTTGAAGTCGTTCCTTGCCGCCTTCTGTTGCTTGCTCTGCTGCACTTGATTTCGACGAGAATAACAAGAGGTGCGCTTGTTCGGCTGTCATGCGAGGGAGCGTGTTCTAACAACCTGCAGTCGAACGAATCACCCATGCGAGACGGCGCACAACACGTTTTTGGGAACCGTGGGGATGTTAATTCTACGCACGGACTGGCCAGTACTTGGGCGTAGCAATACGAAATCCATGTACGAGATTCCTCTGCGCTCCCCCTGGATCGCCGTGGCTTGCGGCTTGGCCCAAGAGTGGCAGCAAATGTAAGCGAATTGGTTTCACAGTCGAAGTCAGCGCTGGCTCACTACGCTGATTAGTTACTGTGCATCTGCCTGAAATCCATGAAAGCTTTTGAATCTGTATCCTGTGCAAGAGCTTCGCCGGCTCCACGACCCGCGCCCCTGGTACCGTCCGCACCGCCACCAATAATTATAAGAAAACTTCTCCAGTTGCTTATGACCTTGTGGCTCGCGGTATCTTTTGGCCCACTCTCAGTGCATTCCAGGCATACCCTCCTCGGCTCCATCGAGCGGAAATGCGACGCACAATTCTCCTGCGCTCTCTGGCGGCGCACCGCCCAGTGCCGATCGTCTGCGTTTTGCGGGTGTTAACATCGCCGGTCTCGACTTTGGCTGCAGCATGGATGGCTCGCGCACGGCCAACAGCGCGTGGCCTACTCTGCTTGAGTACTACGGCCACGATGGCAAAGGACCGATGCAACGCTTTCGACAACGGCAGCTTCAACGTCTTCCGTCACCCTGTCGGCCGGCAGTTCCTCACCGACGGCGTGCTCACTGACACACTCGATGACTGACACACTCAGTGAGGACAACTTCTAGGAGCGCAATGGTCTTATCCAGGTTTTCTTGGCTACCAATGCAAGCTGCATCATCAATGTGCACAGCTATGCTCGCTGGAATGGGGAGGTGACTTGTGTTCTCCGCGTTATATTGTACTCCCTGAACTGACGTCTACTTTTAGATTATCGGCCAAAGTGCTCCAAGCAATGAGATCTTTGCTTCACTCTGGGGCAGTATCGCAAGTGAATACGTCAACAATGGTCGACAATTCCAGATCATTTTCGGAGTGTAAGTCGTCTCAGCGTCCTTCATCCTGACTCGGACGTTCATTCTGTGTTAGCATGATCGAGCCCATGATATCCCTGACATCAGTATCTGGGTGAGATCTATCCAGGCCGCTGTTACCGCCACCCGCCAGGCAGGCGCAGCGACGCAGCTGATCCCGCTCCCGGGCAATGACTACACATCCGCCGAGACCTTCATCTCAGACGGTTCCATGTTTGCCCTCGGCAATGGACTTCACGAATCTCGTCTTCTGCGCCCACAAGCACCTCGAGTTGGGCCACTGGCACGTTCTTCGCCGGACTTGCTCGAGATAGACGCTAATGGACTGCGTGGCCAGCAACATCAAGATGCCTTCGGCCTGCCTTCGGCCTGCTTGCGACCTACTTGCGTGCCAGCGGCTATTATGCGTTCAACACAGGGATCGGCGGCAGTGTGTGACGCACCTCTGCCAGCGGATTGCCTTCGTCCAGCAGTACTCTGATGGTGCGCCCGTTTCTGTCACGTATGTAGCAACGGCTGACGAGGATGTGCAGTCTTCCTCGGCTACGTCGGCAGGGCCGCAGACTACTTTGACTCAAGCTACGCCCTCTGCGATGTCCCAACGGACACTGACGATGTCTAGGCTGGTGCATCGCTTGCTTAGCACCAAATTAATTCTGAGAACGGCAGATTCTTCTCAGACCTTCAGACGTTTGTCATGTTTTACTCGGAGCTGTACTCTGGCATCGACGAATTGCATGCATGCTTCCACCCGGCAGTCTCGCGAGCGCTGAGAATGAGAATGGGCAATTGCTGATATACCTCTGACTATCCGGCTCGAGGAGGCACAAGGTCAGCCCGTCTCGCCTATACCGTGATCTCCGGACGCTGACGCGAAGTTCAGGCATCCTGTGTGCGTGTCATGAGTCCTGTGTACTGACATTTGCTCCAGCTGGCTTGGCTGCGGAGGTGTGAGCATTCTCCCGGATATTGCCGCCGCATGTGTCGCACGCGGTAAGAAGCCAAGCTTGACTTGGTAAACGACTGTCTCTTGACATAGGTGAAAGACACGAATGGGACCCTTACCCCTGCGACTCTCGCGCTTTGAATTGTCTCTGCCAAGGCGTCGGCTCATGTATAGCAGCAACGTATCAATCGGCCATGTTGCAAGAAGACAAGCGGCTGATGAATGAGTTTTGTTTCCAGGTAGTATTGTTGGTTATGAGCGCTGAGGTTTGGGATTCAAATTCTGAAGACTTCATCATAGCTATCATTGCAGAGCTGAACAGGCCCCACCACTTGCGTGTCCTGTGGCTTTTGCAGCGAGCGAGCTCGATGATCGTACATGGCAAGATCTTTATTGTTGTCTAGACCCGCTACTTACGCTTTCCACCAGACCTCCCACGCGTCCCGTAGATTACAGTACTCGGGCGGGTCTGCTGCCCTGCCAACAGCGAGGGCGATCGCAAGTATCGTGGCTATCACCTCCCTACCGAGCGCCGAGCAGCAGCCTCTACAGCTCGTCGTCGACCATCGCCTCAAGCGTCATCTCAAGCGCACCCATAGGCATCCGGCCTCGACCGCGCCCTCGGAGTCCTCATGCACCTGCGCACCAAACTCTCCGCCGGTGGGTGCCAGCACGCTACGCTTCGCGACACCAGTGAGAACACCGCAGGCTTCGACTTTGGACGCAAATCGGACGGCTCGCGCACGGCGTCCGCGGCGTAGCCGCCACTGATCAAGCTTCAAGGACTACGGCATCAACGACGCGGGCCAAAATCGGGTGCGGCGCTTTGTCAATGACGACACCAGCTTCAGCGTACTTCCGCCTGCCCAATCGGCCAGCAGTTCCTTATCGATGGCGCCCTCTGCGGGCCTTGGGCGTAAGTTCTGCTCAATCCTCCAGCCGCCTTTCCAATCTTGGTGCTCACTTTGTTCCTGAAAGCAGCGGTGTTCGCTTCTCGCACAGCCATTAAAGCACGTGCGAGCAAGCTGTCCGAGCAGGCTGTACTAGGAATAGCCCACGAGGCGGACGACCAACCTCCTCGTTGCACGGTGCTTGCTCGTCACTCTGCCTTAGACCAAGCTACAATCTGTCTTGAACGACATATCCATAATTGTGCATTGTCCTTCTTTGGGACATACTTTCGACGTCGAGGAACCGTCCAGCCGCACGCGCATTCGTTCGATAGCTCGAGGACACCGCATTGGCTGGAGCAAGCCATCCCCTCGACACGACGACATTGTGAGTTTCAGCACGGTCATTATGTCCAGTCTCGCTCACTGGAATGTGTAGGTCCTGGAGTAGGACGTTGGTGTATGGGCAAACATGTCGCTGGATCCGCAGTCGGCAAGGCGTAGCGACTCGTATCCCAGCGGCCTACTACCGGAGAGATCCAGCGACCCACATCCCAGCGACCCACAGCCCAGCAACTCACACCCCATCAGCCCGCAGTCCGGATATCCGCAGCCAGCAAGTGCCAGCGACCACGACCTGCAGCTGGTGAAGTCTAGCGACCCGCGCCCGGTGAGAACCATCGTTGGACATTCATCCTACATAGACTCATAACAATTACCTTAGGCTTGCCCAGGCGTGGAACATCGGGGGGTGGTGTGCTGTGGGTGCGGAAATCCAATCTTCGGCGTACGTCACAAGTGTGTGGAATGCATGGGGTTCGACCTGTGCCAAGACTGCATATCCGTCGTGTCGCTCCGTTCTCAACATGAACACGCCCATACGCTCTTTCCGATCGAGTATCCCTGGGACCACCGCCCATTTCGTGATTTATCGTTAGTGCTACATAACGTTCGTCACGGTGTCGAATGTGATGGCTGCCGGCAATGTCCGGTCATCGGCGTACGTTACAAGTGCCTCTCATGCTACGACTTTGATTTCTGCTCTGCATGCTTCAACAACATCAAGAGGCGTTCCGCACATCCTATCTCTCACGAGTTCTTTCCCATCCGAAGCCCAGAAGAAGAAGCAAAATTCTTTGCCGCGCGAGACAACGCTCAGACTCCTCCAACTTTCCCGGGAGACCATGGCGTACTCCTTCCCCGGAGAGATGTGACAGGATGCGCCACCTACGATGCGACCGGTCGACGTTCCGACGCAGCATGCAGCAAATGCAGCGGACTCCCTGTCGAACACTGCTGCGTCGACTGTGGTGGTGACTATGGACTTTGTACCGCTTGCGTGAGCGATCCGTATATCCGCATGTTCCACAACCCTCTACATAGCTTCACGCCGCTTGAGTCGTCTACAGCACGGCTCGAGTCTGAACCAGATCCATCCTCGGAGCACGACGACATCGCGAGCCAGACCAAGTGCGGTGGCTGCCGACGTCGCATCTTTCGCATCCGACATCAGTGTCTTGAATGCCCTGACTTTTCGCTCTGTCAGCTCTGCATCTCCTCTCCCCAACGGCGCTCGGAGCACGGCATCAGACATCGGTTCTTCCCTGTCGAGTACCCGTGGGATGTTGGCACTTTCGAGGCTGTCCGCGCAACATTGAATGCACCGCGCTGTCGAGGCTGTGGCTTCAAGATCTCGTTGGGCTGGCACAAGTGTCTTTCATGTCCAGACTTTGCCTTGTGCTCATGGTGCATGTCGGACCCAGACCTGCGTCTCAGGCACGACCTTGGGCATCCCTTTTTTCCTTACGCACCACACTCCGGGTCTGGAATCGCCGAGCACAAAGCTAGGCGTCAGCAGTTTGCCACATACGCGAATTTGCCCGCCCCGCCATACTCCGGCTTGGAAGGTACTAGCTTCGGCTCGGATGACGATAGGTCCTCTGACGGCGTGAGTCTCTCAAGCTCAGTCTGGAATATTTCCTATGTTTGTCCACTGATGCCAAGACTTGATTCTCATTCAGGCTGCTACAGAACACAAATTGCTTGTGCAGTCAAGAGTCTTCATTGAGTTATCGGGAACATCTGTGTGTTTCTCATGCGACAATATTCCGTGGACACACACCACTCCGCTGGTGGCGATCCCTTATTATTATTTCGTGGTTCTGCAGCCCACAGAGCTCAGCGATCTCAGCCGGGAACGTGCCCGGGCCGCTATCTGGGGCTCGATACAGATGGCTGCCTCTGGCATCGTGCCTACCCACAACCTTTTCCGGTCTGAGTGTTCAGGCCCAGGCGAGATCTACACTCTCACTCCTCTCACTCCTTCCACCGTCCCTCTCCAGTGCGTACACGTTGGCCAAGGTGCGATACCCGATGCACTCGCCGACATCCCTCGTGGCCTCCTGCCAATTGACGATCTGCTCGCGAAACTCAACAGTGTCCTTGGGACGTCGTATACGCTCGACACCCCTGGTGTCCGTGACTGCTTGGAATACGCGCTCGGCAGTTTGCACGATTTCGGGGAGGTGTATGGGACACTGCGCTCGGAGTGGTCGTGCTGGCGGGGGCCTGAAGACTCTGCCGCAGCACTGGCCAAGATGAAGGAGCGTCGTGATGAGGTTCAACAAAGGCGGGACAATGCCAT